GAAACCCTTCATGACAACTATTCAAAGGGCATCGAGGAGTTACTTGAAAAGGGTTATGCAGAAAAGGTTGACGATGATGAAATTACAACTGAAAGACCTGTGTGGTATCTGCCGCATCATGCCGTTACAAGCGACAAGAAGCCGGATAAAGTGAGAATCGTGTTTGATTGTTCAGCAAAGTACTTGGGGACAAGCCTTAACGAAGAAGTACTTCAAGGACCGGATCTCACTAATAAGCTAATCGGAGTACTTCAGCGTTTCCGAGAGGGACAATTTGCTATCATGGGGGATATCGAAGCGATGTTTCACCAGGTCAAAGTCGAACAGAAACATCGAGATCTATTGAGATTCCTCTGGTGGCCAGGAGGAAACCTATCCCTCAAACCAGAGATATTTCGGATGACTGTTCATATTTTTGGAGGGGTATGGAGCCCCAGTTGTGCTAGTTATGCTGTCCAGCGCACCGCTCAGGACAACACAGTAGACTTTGATGAAGAGACAGTGAGAACAGTGTTAGACAACTTCTACGTCGACGACTGCCTCAAGTCAACAACTTCAGACGAAAGAGCAATTCATCTTGTAAAGGAAACTAGCAATTTACTCCAGCGAGGTGGATTCAATATTACTAAATGGACTAGTAACAGTCGGACAGTAGTGGAATCCATTCCAACTGAAAAGCGAGCAAAGGAGCTGAAGAATATTGACCTTGGCAACAACATTCTCCCTTCAAGAGCGGGCACTTGGTGTAGTTTGGGACACTGAAACAGATGAATTTGGGTTTATTGTGAAACCTAAAAGGAAACCGATGACACGCAGAGGACTTATTAGCATCAAAAGTTCTGTTTATGACCCCTTTGGAGTTGTGTGTTCAGTCATGTTGAAAGCTAAGAGACTATTTCAGCATGAGTGCAGATTGAAGAAAGAATGGGATGACGCACTTGAACCGGACAGTGTTCGAAAGTTCATGGACTGGCTCCTTGATCTCCGAGAAATTGAGAATCCCCAGGTGTCTATTTCCTGCGGACTTTGGCGAAATCGTGAAGTGTGAGCTACATCACTTCTCTGACGCATCACTAAACGGCTATGGAGCAGTGTCTTAACTCAGAGCAATAAACACAGACGCTGAAATTCATTGTTCATTCTTGATTGGAAAGGCCAGACTGCCACCTATTAAAGAAAGCACCATTCCCGAGACTTGAGCTGTCCGCTGCGGTTGTATCAGTAAAACTGAATGAGACACTTCTACAAGAATTAAACCTGAACATCATCAGTTCTACCTTTTGGACGGATAGTACGATTGTACTCCATTACATTAAGAGCGAGAGACTGCGGTTTCAAACCTTTGTTGCCAACAGAATAAGTACAATCCAGGAATCGACTTCGTCGTCAGACTGGCGATATGTGAAATCTGAACTGAACCCGGATGATTACTCATCTCATGGCATGTACGCAAGTCAGATTGTCAACTGCGGACAGTGGATAAAGGGTCCAGAATTCCTGTGGATGGAAGAAAGCAAATGGCCTGCAACTCCCGACCTGTTTGATGTTGACCCGACAGAACTTGAAGTAAGGAAAAGCAAGGTTTTCTTTTCTGACATTGGAATGGAGGAGTATGCTACAGACAGGCTATTAAAGAGGTATTCATCCTGGATCAAGCTGAAGAAAATAGTTTGTTGGATTCTAAGACTCAAACAATGCCTTCTACTGAAAGTGAGAGGTTCAAAACAGAAACAGGACAATAAAATATCCACAAAATCTCTTTCAGTAGATGAAATGAGGACTGCCGAACTGGAAATTGTGAAATATTTGCAGAAACGTCACTTCACATCTGAAATTCAAGAACTGAAACTAGGTCGAACAGTCAAGAAATCAAGTCCTATACACCAGTTAGAGCTAATGATCAGTTCCAAGGGAATTCTCTGTGTTGGAGGCAGGCTATCCAATGCTCCTATCACCGAGCAGGCGAAACATCAGATGATTTTACCAAAAGATCATTATGTCGGCCGACTGATCGCCTATCACGCCCATGAGATCTTGGGCCACTCTGGGACTGAGCATGTTTTATCATATCTGCGACAAAGATTCTGGATAATCGGGGCCAGAGTTATGCTCAAATCCATATTCAGGAAATGTGTTCATTGTCGGAAAATGCAGAGTGCTAAGGGTGCTTAACAAATGGCGCAACTGCCTACAGATCGAGTTACGTCTCATCGACCGCCATTCACTTATGTAGGTATTGACTGTTTTGGGCCATTCGAGGTAAAAAGGGCCAGAAGCATTGTGAAGCGTTATGGCTGTATCTTTATGTGTCTTACTACCAGAGCAGTCCATATCGAGAAATTGGATTCAATGAGTACAGACTCCTTCATAGACACACTTCGGCGATTTGTGAGTCGCAGAGGCAAACCAGAGAAAATTAGGACTGATAACGGGTCTAATTTCAAGGGAGCTTGCAGAGAGCTCAAAGAGGCAATTCAAGCATGGAACTTGAAACACCACTTTCAGTGGGAGTTTAACCCTCCTACGGCATCCCACATGGGCGGTGTATGGGAGCGGCAGATAAGGACTGTGCGCAAAGTGTTGAATGGACTGTTTTGCAGGGAAAAAGGACTGTCTGATGAGTGTCTTCATACACTCTTCTGTGAGGTTGAAGCAATAATCAATAGCAGACCGATCACTGTTGTATCGGACAATGTGCGGGATGCAGAAGCTCTCACACCTAACCACTTGCTTCTATTGCGGCAAGGCGAGTTGATGCCTCCAGGTGACTTTCATCCTCAAGATGTGTACAGACAACGATGGAGGCATGTACAATTCCTGTCCGACGTTTTCTGGAAACGTTGGGTCCGGGAATATCTTCCAACCTTGCAGCTTAGACAGAAGTGGTTGAAGCCTATATATAATCTCTGTGTGGGTGATATTGTTCTCATTACGGATGAGAATACACCGAGAAAATTGTGGCCACTTGCCCGTGTGGAAAAGACATTCCCAGGTAGAGACAGACTGGTGCGGTCAGTGCTTGTGAGATCAAGGGGGACAATCCTTACCAGACCCATCCATAAACTGTGCCTTCTGGAGTCAGTGACACTATGACTGACTAAATGTCAAATGAGTGACTTTTCATAAAGCAAATCAGTAAATGTGATTGTGTGACTACTGTAACTGTAGGGGAGTATATCATTGAAAGTATAAACTTTGAGTTCATTTAAGAGAAACATTCATAAGCACAGTATATAATATTTTGTATACAATCATGGTATTCACCTGTAAGGTTGTTTGGTTATTACATTTCTTTTATTTGTTTAGGTCATTTTATTCGAGTAATATTCTTTGGTTAAGAGTATATTTAGGTTTTTGGAGGTAAATGTTTGTTATAAAGGAAAACTACACATTTATTGGGCCGGTGTGTAGAGATTTATTTGCTTTAATCTTTTATAAAGATTTTTCGTGCGCTTCACGCAACTATCTGTTGCCTCAACAAGGCCGGAAGTTCTGGGGCAGATAACTCTAATCGCTGCGGTGACCTCGTGGTTGTGAACGGAGAGCTATGAACGATGAACGTCTGCTGCGGTAGACAACATTCTACTTTTTTACTTTGTACACCTACCTTTGTGGAGGATAATGGGCCTAAAATTTGTAAGCATTGTTTCTATTAGTATTGCAACACTTTTCAAGCAATTTTGTCAGGTATAATTAATTTTACTGGTAAAGTGTTTTCTGTAAACTTCAACATGAGGAGCACGAGCACATGGTTCTGTGTCACCTATTTTCGTGCCACTATGAAATCATTGTTTTATTGGTCTTACACAGACTATTATGTAATATGTGTTTGTATATCATTATGTGCAAGGTTTTATGCTGGATATTTTAACTAAATGTTGTTTTCTTACTTCTTTAACCAGCTTGAACCTACTACACAGAATAGTCAACTCAAACAATAAACTCACGAGTTCACGATTAAAGGTTGCCCAGTTATTTATTCCCACACCACACACATTATCAACCAGTGACATTATGCACCAATCACACACATTATCAACCAGTGACACTATGCACCAATCACTCACATCATCAACCAGTGACAGTATCCACCAATCACACACATTATCAAACAATGACATTATGCACCAATCACACACATTATCAACCAGTGATATTATCCACCAATCACACACATTATCAACCTGTGACACTATGCACCAATCACACACATTATCAACCACTTCCATTATCCTTCTTTCACATTATCCATCCTCCACACACATTATCAACCAGTGACATTATGCACCAATCACACACATTATCAACCAGTGACACTATGCACCAATCACTCACATCATCAACCAGTGACAGTATCCACCAATCACACACATTATCAAACAATGACATTATGCACCAATCACACACATTATCAACCAGTGATATTATCCACCAATCACACACATTATCAACCTGTGACATTATGCACCAATCACACACATTATCAACCTGTGATATTATCCACCAATCACACACATTATCAACCTGTGACATTATGCACCAATCACACACATTATCAACCAGTGACATTATGCACCAATCACACACATTATCAACCAGTGACACTATGCACCAATCGCACACATTATCAACCAGTGACATTATGCACCAATCACACACATTATCAACCAGTGACATTATCCATAGATCACTAACATTATCAACCAGTGACATTATGCACCAATCACACACATTATCAACCACTTCCATTATCCTTCTTTGACATTATCCACCCTCCACACACACTACCAACCAGTGACATAATGCACCAATCACACACATTATCAAACAATGACTTTATCCATCCTTGACATTATGCACCAATCACACACATTACCAACCAGTGACATTATCCATCCTTGACATTATCCATCCTCCACACACATGACAAACCTGTGACATTATCCATCCTTGACATTATGCACCAATCAATCATTCAACCACCTAAACATTTCACTCACTGAGTTGCTTCATCTTCAGTATCAAGGATCAGCTTCACTCTAATGTCTGTGTTTTCCTCAGTGTCCAGGATCCGCTAAAACCCGTTATCTGTGTTATCTCTCCATGGGTGTAATGGCAGCGTCATCAGTAAACAGTGCTCCTGTGTAATGGTTATATCTAGCTTTTAGGTTTTCAATACAAAACGTTCAACATGATTAGTGGCAACCACATATCAGTTGACGTGATTTAATTATTGACATCAACACCCTGTGCCAGAAAACGTTACGAAATCTTTCTTGACGAGAAGCTCTGTTGATCCATCTTTCGTTATCGCTCAAATATCTCACTTAGAATTACATTTTGCTTTCACTTTGAATTCTGTGGGTAAAATACCCTATACAAATCGGTACTACGCGGATGTTTATAATTACATGGCGGTCTGTTGAGCGCGTGTGAAATTCATTGTGATTAAATGTAGTCTCAAAGCTTACATGTACCTTTCTATCTTTCAGCAATTAAGCTATATCGTCATAATTTATATCATGTCACTAAAATACTTCATAATAATACCCAATTTGTCTTATATTAATCAGATTGGTTTGATAAATAAACAGCAAAGAGTAACAAAGACTGACCTACTGTACAAGCGAGACATCATGTGACGCCTTGCGGGTCGATGAGTCCTTATTACGTCCCGTCCACCCGGACGTTTCTAAGTATTGTGGCATTGCGTTGAGGTGGTTGTCAATACACAGAAGTGAGAATCAAATGAACATGATTTAAACAATATTTTATTTGTAACATTGAATTAGTGAAAAATGAACCACCAACAGTAGTGTTCATGTAGTGTCCATATAGTGTCCATGTAGAGTTCATGTAGTGTCCATGTAGTGTCCATGTGGTGTCCATGGAGAGTTCAGGTAGTGTCCATGTGGTGTTCATATAGTGTGCTTGTGGTGTCAATGTAGTGACCATGTGGTGTTCATCTAGTGTCCATGTGGTGTTCATGTAGTGTCCATGTAGTGTCCGTGTAGTGTTCATGTAGTGTCCATATGGTGTTCATGTAGTGTCCATGGGGTGTCCCTGTAGAGATCATATAGTGTGCATGTAGTGACCAAGTTGTATTGATGTAGTGTCCATGGAGTGTTCATGTAGTGTCCATGTGGTGTTCATGTAGTGTCCATGTTTTGTCCATGTGGTGTCCATGGAGAGTTCATGTAGTGTCCATGTGGTGTTCATGTAGTGTCCATGTGGTGTCCATGTAGTGCTCATGTAATGTCCATGTAGTTTCCAAGTAGTGTCCTTGTAGTGTCCATGGAGAGTTCATGTAATGTCCATGTAGTATCCATGTGCTGTCCAAGTGGTGTTCATGTAGTGTCCATGGAGAGTTCATGTAGTGTCCATGTAGTGTCCACGTGCTGTCAATGTAGAGTTCATATAGTATCCATGTATTGTTCATGTAGTGTCCATGTGGTGTCCATGTGGTGTTCATCCAGTGTCCATTTGCTGTCCATGTACTGTCCATATATTGTTCATGCAGTGTCGATGTCGTGTCCACGTAGTCTACATGTAGAGTCCATGTAGTGTCCATGTAATGTCCATGTGGTGTCCATGGAGAGTTCATGTAGTGTCCATGTGGTGTTCATGTAGTGTCAGTGTGGTGTCCATGTGGTGTTCATGAAGTGTCCATGTGGTGTCCATGTTGTGTTCATGTGTCCATGTGGTGTCCTTGTGGTGTCCTTGTGGTGTCCATGTAGTGTTCATGTAGTGTCCATGTAGAGTCCATGTGGTGTTCATGTAGTATCCATGTAGTGTCCATGTGATGCCCATGGAGAGTTCATGTAGTGCCCATGTAGTGTCCAAGTAGTGTCCTTGTAGTGTCCATGTAGTGTTCATGTAGTGTCCATGTGCTGTCAATGGAGAGTTCATGTAGTGTCCATGTAGTGTCCATGTAGTGTTCATGTAGTGTCCATGTGGTGTCCATGTAGTGTCCATGTGGTGTCCATGTAGTGTCCATGTGGTGTTCATGTAGTGTCCATCTGGTGTCCATGTAGAATCCATGTGGTGTTCATGTAGTGTCCATGTGCTGTCAATGGATAGTTCATGTAGTGTTCATGTAGTGTCCATGTGGTGTTCATGTAGTGTCCATATGGTGTTCATGTAGTGTCCATGGGGTGTCCCTGTAGAGATCATATAGTGTGCATGTAGTGACCAAGTTGTATTGATGTAGTGTCCATGGAGTGTTCATGTAGTGTCCATGTGGTGTTCATGTAGTGTCCATGTTTTGTCCATGTGGTGTCCATGGAGAGTTCATGTAGTGTCCATGTGGTGTTCATGTAGTGTCCATGTGGTGTCCATGTAGTGCTCATGTAATGTCCATGTAATGTCCATGTAGTTTCCAAGTAGTGTCCTTGTAGTGTCCATGGAGAGTTCATGTAATGTCCATGTAGTATCCATGTGCTGTCCAAGTGGTGTTCATGTAGTTTCCAAGTAGTGTCCTTGTAGTGTCCATGGAGAGTTCATGTAATGTCCATGTAGTATCCATGTGCTGTCCAAGTGGTGTTCATGTAGTGTCCATGTAGTGTCCATGGAGAGTTCATGTAGTGTCCATGTAGTGTCCACGTGCTGTCAATGTAGAGTTCATATAGTATCCATGTATTGTTCATGTAGTGTCCATGTGGTGTCCATGTGGTGTTCATCCAGTGTCCATTTGCTGTCCATGTAGTGTCCATATATTGTTCATGCAGTGTCCATGTAGAATCCATGTGGTGTTCATGTAGTGTCCATGTGCTGTCAATGGATAGTTCATGTAGTGTCCATGTAGTGTTCATGTAGTGTCCATGTGGTGTTCATGTAGTGTCCATATGGTGTTCATGTAGTGTCCATGGGGTGTCCCTGTAGAGATCATATAGTGTGCATGTAGTGACCAAGTTGTATTGATGTAGTGTCCATGGAGTGTTCATGTAGTGTCCATGTGGTGTTCATGTAGTGTCCATGTTTTGTCCATGTGGTGTCCATGGAGAGTTCATGTAGTGTCCATGTGGTGTTCATGTAGTGTCCATGTGGTGTCCATGTAGTGCTCATGTAATGTCCATGTAATGTCCATGTAGTTTCCAAGTAGTGTCCTTGTAGTGTCCATGGAGAGTTCATGTAATGTCCATGTAGTATCCATGTGCTGTCCAAGTGGTGTTCATGTAGTTTCCAAGTAGTGTCCTTGTAGTGTCCATGGAGAGTTCATGTAATGTCCATGTAGTATCCATGTGCTGTCCAAGTGGTGTTCATGTAGTGTCCATGTAGTGTCCATGGAGAGTTCATGTAGTGTCCATGTAGTGTCCACGTGCTGTCAATGTAGAGTTCATATAGTATCCATGTATTGTTCATGTAGTGTCCATGTGGTGTCCATGTGGTGTTCATCCAGTGTCCATTTGCTGTCCATGTAGTGTCCATATATTGTTCATGCAGTGTCGATGTCGTGTCCACGTAGTCTACATGTAGAGTCAATGTAGTGTCCATGTAATGTCCATGTGGTGTCAAAGGAGAGTTCATGTAGTGTCCATGTGGTGTTCATGTAGTGTCAGTGTGGTGTCCATGTGGTGTTCATGAAGTGTCCATGTGGTGTCCATGTTGTGTTCATGTGTCCATGTGGTGTCCTTGTGGTGTCCATGTAGTGTTCATGTAGTGTCCATGTAGAGTCCATGTGGTGTTCATGTAGTATCCATGTAGTGTCCATGTGATGCCCATGGAGAGTTCATGTAGTGCCCATGTAGTGTCCAAGTAGTGTCCTTGTAGTGTCCATGTAGTGTTCATGTAGTGTCCATGTGCTGTCAATGGAGAGTTCATGTAGTGTCCATGTGGTGTTCATGTAGTGTCCATCTGGTGTCCATGTAGAATCCATGTGGTGTTCATGTAGTGTCCATGTGCTGTCAATGGATAGTTAATGTAGTGTCCATGTAGTGTCCATGTGGTGTTCATGTAGTGTCCATATGGTGTTCATGTAGTGTCCATGGGGTGTCCCTGTAGAGATCATATAGTGTGCATGTAGTGACCAAGTTGTATTGATGTAGTGTCCATGGAGTGTTCATGTAGTGTCCATGTGGTGTTCATGTAGTGTCCATGTTTTGTCCATGTGGTGTCCATGGAGAGTTCATGTAGTGTCCATGTAGTGTCCATGTGGTGTTCATGTAGTGTCCATGTGGTGTCCATGTAGTGCTCATGTAATGTCCATGTAATGTCCATGTAGTTTCCAAGTAGTGTCCTTGTAGTGTCCATGTAGTATCCATGTGCTGTCCAAGTGGTGTTCATGTAGTGTCCATGTAGTGTCCATGTGGTGTCCATGGAGAGTTCATGTAGTGTCCATGTAGTGTCCATGTGGTGTCCATGGAGAGTTCATGTAGTGTCCATGTAGTGTCCACGTTCTGTCAATGTAGAGTTCATATAGTATCCATGTATTGTTCATGTAGTGTCCATGTGGTGTTCATCCAGTGTCCATTTAGTGTCCATGTGGTGTCCATGTAGTGTCCATATATTGTTCATGCAGTGTCGATGTCGTGTCCACGTAGTCTACATGTAGAGTCCATGTAGTGTCCATGTAATGTCCATGTGGTGTCCATGGAGAGTTCATGTAGTGTCCATGTAGTGTCCATGTAGTGTCCATGTTCTGTCAAAGGAGAGTTCATGTGGTGTCCATGTGGTGTTCATGAAGTGTCCATGTGCTGTCCATGTTGTGTTCATGTGTCCATGTGGTGTCCATGTAGTGTTCATGTAGTGTCCATGTAGAGTCCATGTGGTGTTCATGTAGTATCCATGTAGTGTCCATGTGGTGCCCATGGAGAGTTCATGTAGTGCCCATGTAGTGTCCAAGTAGTGTCCTTGTAGTGTTCATGTGCTGTCAATGGAGAGTTCATGAAGTGTTCATGTAGTGTCCAAGTGGTGTCCATGTGGTGTTCATGTAGTGTCCATCTGGTGTCCATGTAGAATCCATGTGGTGTTCATGTAGTGTCCATGTGGTGTCCATGTGGTGTTCATGTAGTGTCCATGTTGTGTTCATGTGGTGTCCATGGAGAGTTCATGTAGTGTCCATATAGTGTCCATGTGGTGTTCATGTAGTGTCCATGTGGTGTATATGTGGTGTTCATCCAGTGTCCATTTATTGTCCATGTTGTGTCCATGACGTGTCCGTGTAGTGTCCATGTGGTGTCCATGGAGAGTTCATGTAGTGTCCATGTGGAGTCCATGGAGAGTTCATGTAGTGCACATATGGTGTCAATGGAGATTTCATATAGTGTTCATCCAGTGTCCATGTGGTGTTCATGGAGAGTTAATGTAGTGTCCATGTGGTGTCCATGTAGTGTCCATGTGGTGTCCATGGAGAGTTCACGTAGTTTCCATGTAGTGTCCATGTGCTGTTCATGTAGTGTTCATGTAGTGTCAATGTTGTATACATGCAGTGTCCCTGTAGTGTCTATGCGGTGCCTATGTAGTGTTCATGTAGTGTTCATGTAGTGTTCATGGCTGTAATAATTTGTGGAAAATGTAAATATGTTTAATACCGATTTTCGACAACTTTCGGCAAGGATGTATGCCTACTTTAAGTGTCGGTTCACAATATACCTGCTATGTTTATTTTAAGGATACCTTAGAACCTGAAAAATATTTATCCTGTCTTCATGCTAAAAA